TGTCAAGTGGGAAGAGTCTGGGGGCGAATCTGAACTCCCTATGTGGGGATATTTTCCTAACTTCCCTGGCAATGGTTTCTTTCACTCTATTTGGCGGGTCAGACCCCAGATTCCATTCTCTTGATGCTTGAAGATGGCTAGGTGAGAGACCCCAAGGGAAAGGAACAAATGACCATGCACTATCGACTGCACTATAGAATTATAATCGTGTTCACAGATGATCCAATATGAATTTTAAGTTACTTTGTCCTAGAACATGAGCTAAATACTCATTTATTAACATTATTACACTAATCTCCCCAGCAATATTTGAAGTAGGATTCAGTAGATCAGGAAACAGCTTTAAGAGCTTTTATGGAATGTCCCAAAGGGAAGGATCAGTACATTTCCAGTGATTGTCTACAGCCAAAGAAGTCACCCTAGTCATTCTTAAGACTACCTTTGAAAGAGTCTTCTCCATAGCCAGGTAAGACCCACTCAGCGGCTGACCCCTTGTGTGGGTAAAGAAGATGGAGGGAAGTGTGGGTTGTATGGAACAGCTTCACATGGTAATGCTGAAGGGTTTGAATATTAATATCAAATGGTACTGGCAAGTAATGTTTCATCACCCCATAGCATTGCTTCTGGGAAAGGACCGTACATTCCCTGCAAGGGTGGGAAAATGCACAGCTGCTTACACCCTCCCTGGACAGACTCAAGGGCTGGAAGTTTAGGAAGGCACGGACATCCTGGAGAGTCCATTTTCATTTATTATTTATTATTATGTGGATTTTCTTCTTAATGAAAATGTCTTGAGTTTTTTTCATTTAGACTTTGGACAACAAATCTTTATGGCTTACTCAGGCTTTGGTGTGTGTATGTTTGTAATAGTCATCAAAACGTGAAAGAACTTTTCTAAAATAAATCAGGAATTAACTAATATTTTCTCTCTCACATGGATCAAAGACTCTGTGTGCGTGTGTGTGCGTGTGTGTCTGTGAATGATTTAAACCAATCCCTCTAATAATGTAACAAATTTGGCTCAGCAGAGATAAAGAGTGAGCTAGAGGAATCATGTAGGATGCAGCACATAGGAGAGGGGTTGGACAGTGTCCACTCTAGGGATTACAGTGAATCAGCTGCTGGAAAATCAGAGGCACACCTGAAAGGAAAATGTACAGCTGCTCCTCCCCAGCTTTCCATCACCTCAGGCTACTGAGAGATCCCGGTTTTAGAACACAAACTACATGCCAGAGGGTGCTTACAGTCCATGACAACACAAGTGTTTTCGCATTACATTTGTGTTCATCACACAAATTCCTGTCTGTTAGCTCTTGGAGACATGGACTGAGAACAGGAAAAATCAAATAAGTTGGTGTAACCTCTCACTTTGCAGCCAGAAAGACTTGGGGAGAGTTAGGTGCAGAAAGTTACCTGCAAGGTGAAGACCATAGAGCTTGTCCAGGGAAGGCCATTTTCCAAGTTTTCCTTAGTTCCAGTCCAGGTGATTCCAGGGCCTTGGATACCTGCAGACAGAATCTCTGCAAAAGGAACTGGACCTTGGGTTTTTTCTTGACGTGCATGGATATGTCCAGCATTTATCACTGCATTAGAACAATATTTTGTTCTATGCTTGCTACATTTCTGTATTTTTATGTCTTGTGCAATGTTCTCTTTAACACACACATAGTAAGCTTGTTATTGTACGTTCCACACAGATGATATTTTTCCAGAAGTCCCATCTTTCTAGAATCAAAAATATGACTGTAGCCAAAGTATATTAAAATGTTCATATTTTAAAGTAAAATCTACATGCTGTCTGTTTGACTCTGTATTCTTCTGCTTAGGGAATATACGTCAAGAGTACAATGGAGGAAAGCCCTCGCCCTCCTGGGTATGGAGGGAACATGCTAGTTGAAGTGTGAAGGATGTGACATTTTATGCTTTGGGTTCCACTTGTATATGAGCTGATTTATTGAAAGCTGACTAAAAATCTGTTGTAGAATACTCTCTGATTTGGAAATATCTCATCTGGAAACTAGCCAGTTATTACAATGGTCACCTCTCTCTTCTCCTGCAGAGTCCCCAAAATCTCACTCCCAGCCCTTTTTCCTTGATGCGTGTTATTTTACCACTCCTTGTTCTTACAGCCGTCTTTCTGGTCATCTGAAATTACTCTTTACATGTCTGAAGGGGATCACATAAGGACTTGGGCTGCCTAAGTGCTAAATGACAGAGTATTTGATATTTGCTCAGAAGTAAGACACATAGGTAGAAAATAGCGTTTTCTTCATCAGTGGTAGTGTTCTTGAATTGTGCTCCAAGAAATATGATGTTCCAAAGATATCCAAATGCATTCTACCCCAAACAGTTTTTGTGTCCGAATAACCTTGGTAAGCAAAGTATTAAATGAAATTATTCCCAAACTTTCTGAGGCATTTAATGAAACAATTCTTACAGATGTTGGGAATTTTCCGAAGGAGGATTTTCACAAGGTATTCTCAACCAGTGATACCACTTTTCCTCCACAGTATCATTCAGGCTCAAAATTTCTGAATACAATGTGGGAAAACTAATCAATGAAGTTGCTCACAAAATGGACCCTTCAAAGGTTTCATTTCTGGAAGATTAGTTTTTTAAATCTAAAATTTACTTAGAGATGGGCAAGAGAAAAAGAAGAAAATGTAGGGGTGGAAATTATTGTGTGTAGAGAGAAGAACAGGGGTTGTTCTCTCTGATTATCATCATGGTTATGAAGGTTGATAATGCTGCTGGAGAAGTGGACACAATTGCCTAGGAAAGGTGAAGTGGTAGGCATCTTGGAAGATGGAAACACTACATTTTACTAAGGTTATTCAAATGCCAGCTACTCTGGATGCTATTAAAACAGAACTGTTTTCTAACTCCTTTAACCTTATGCTCATGTAATAGTAATGAGGCACAAGTTAAAGAAATATTCAGAAAATAACCTTGCAAAGGCAAAGAAAAAGGGAAATGAAGATGTTAGAGGATAACGAATTGTACTGGAAGTGGTAGACAGGATAAACATAGGATACGATGTCTAGTTTTACTTTCATATATTAAAGGAGACTCTTTACCCCACAGTGAGGCCAGGGCTGGCTTGGTTAATATATGTCTGAGTACACTGGGAGAAACTACACCTTGGATTTAGAAACTGCTCTTTTCGGTAGGGTAGGTTGCATCAGAGGTAGAGTGAGCCACACATTAGATAGAAGTAGTGGGCACAGCACCAGATACTCTGTGATAATGCTCTGTCATAAAACAACACGTGGAATTTTCTGTAGGGCACTACATAGAGTTCAGGAATAGGGGACAGTTATTAGTTTAGAATCTTGCAAAAGAAAGACAGTCTATTCTAAAGGTCCTGCTATCTTCAGGAGACTATTGATATAGGGGGCTCCAGAGGGTTGATCCAGGCCTGTTGACAATCCTCTCAGGTCCTAGAGATGAGGCCCAGCCTGATCTTGACAATTTTGAGACTTAAAGAAAACATGCCAAGTGGATTAAACTGTAAAGAGATAAGGGGAACCTGGATTGGCCATTCAGAGCACTCTGATTGGGCACTCAGAGGTCTTTAGCCTTTTCTTTTTTAACATCACAGTGAGACATTAAGTCTTTCATCTAAACCCAGTTAAATGTGATTACCTCTTCTCTGAAACACTTTCTTGGTGTCCTCATGGAGAATTTGGGGGAGAGAGTGTGGAGTTGTTCCTGTGGTGCCTGTGACATTCTAAATTTCATGGTCATTCAGTTGGACTTGGGTTTTGTCTAACTGATTGTTAGCTCTTTGAGAGGAGGGGTAGTGAAATCAGAACCTGTAACTGTCATTTACTAAGCTTTTAAAAGGTGCCACGCTCAATTAAAAACATTGTACCACAGCAATATCTGTGCATCCATGTTTACAGAAGCACAATTTATCATAGCTAAACCTTGGAAACAACTCAAATGCCCATCAGCCAAGGAAAGCATAAAACAGTTGTGATCATTTTATACAATGGAGTACTATTCAGCCATAAAGAAGGGTAAACTTGAGACTTTTATAGGTAAATGGATGAAACTTGAGACCATACTCATAAGTGAAATAAATCAGACTCACATGTGTAAACATTGTACTGTCTCCCTGGTGTGAGAAATTGAGAGTAAATAAGGTCTAGAATGTATAATAGATATGAAATGGGATGTAATTGTTTAAAAGAGAAAAGGAACCAGGAGGTGTGTAAGGGCAAAGAAGGAAGGGAAAAGGGGGAAAGATGCAAGGTAGCTATACTATTAGTGTCTCAGTTCATTGAAAAGGAAGATTCATGCTAATATCGATTGGAGAAATTTTATGCCTATATCTTATACTCTAAGTAACTACTTTGAAGATGACAATAGGCAATGTATTACTCATTGTTATTCTTCTGTTATTTTGCTATAAAATTGTTTTATGTTTTTCAATAAAATAAAAAAGCTGCCAAACTCTTAAAAATAAAACCCAAATGCTATCCCCACTTTATGGACAACAAAACTGAGTTCTAGGATGCCAGACAGCTGCATGGAAAGCGTCATGTGATTTCCCTGGCTCTCTGGTCCAAGTACTTCGCCTTAGGCCAATGATTCTCTACCTGGGAAGTTAAAAACAGACCCTGGTGCATGAATTCCATTTTCAAATATTTGGATTTTATCGGGGCAACATTTGGGCCTCTGTGTTAAACTCTGCAGGTGATGTCGATGGGCCCCCAGAGCTGAGAATCTGGGCCTTCTCATGCTATTTTGTGTATCCCACTGTCCATCATCTGTATGACTGCATTCACCTACGACAGGGGCTAAGAGGCAGTTATTGATTGTTCAAAGGGTGTTTGTAGCAAGAGGGAAGAGCAATGAGTGGTTGGATGTCACTAGAAGTTACAAAGGGTCTCAGAGGCAAAACAGAATTTTTAAAGTTCATCAGAAGACTAATGCCAGACTGGAGGATGCTATTCATTTTGCACTCAGAGGTGATCCCCAACCTTCTTTTGCAGGAGGTGTTGTCCTCAACCCAGCCTTTTACGGCATGCCAGGCCACACCAACATCATGATCCACGAAGTGGGGCATGTCCTGGGACTCTATCACGTCTTTAAAGGGGTCAGTGAGAGGGACTCCTGTGATGACCCCTGCAGGGAGACGGTGCCATCGATGGAGACAGGAGATCTCTGTGCCGATACTGCCCCCACGCCCAAGAGCAAGCTGTGTCAGATCCCAGAACCTGCCAATGACACCTGTGGCATCACCCACTTCCCAGGGGCTCCATTCAACAACTACATGAGCTACACAGGTATCACCACAGGCTTGATGCTTATATTATTATTAAGACTACTTTTGGGTAGGAGGTCTCAGCGGGGATGGGCAGGGTGGAGGAGAGGGAGCTAGAGAGATCACTGGAGTTGTCATTTACATCAGAACATTGAAGTGTATTGATTATAGGATATTCTGTCTTTTCCATGCCTGAAGAACTTGAAGAAAAGCTTAGACTTTGAGAGGTCTTGGTGACTCCATTCGCTTCCAATAGAGATTAAAAGAAAAGCACTCATTTTTCCTGGCTAGCATCAATGAGACAAAGCTAAAAGCCTCCTCCAGGCTCTTTGACTTGTGGAGATTTTCATTCTTGGTTCTTTTCTCAGGCATTTGCTCTGAAGGAGAATCTAATCGTGATGAGTGAAAAAGATTTCTGCGTCAATATTGCTTGATTTTACACTTTGCATTACTTTTACAGTTGCTCAACAAGATGACTCAGTTAATCTCCACTCAGGATTCCTTTTATTTTATATTATCTTTAAACAAACAGATTTCCAGCACCGATGCTTGGCTTGCCCTCCATATACTCTGCCAAAAATAGTGCTTTCTTATCTTAAAAATAGGGCCATCCTGGCTCCAGGAAGAACTGCATTGTTTGCTTTTGTCCTTTCTCACTTCAGCTCTGGGGTTATCTTTCTTTCCTGTCTCTCACACCTTCTTTATTTCTGGCAAAAATTAACACTAACTAGCAAGGGTAACACTGATAGTGAGGGTACATTCATCCATAACATTGAGGCCTAATTTGATTTGATGACCCCTTCCAATGAGGAAAGAAGGTATTTTTTCTAGTTCCAGGTACTTCTTTCTAAAATAATCCAAAACAGTTAAATCACCATATCCTCCTCATGACTCTGAAAGAAAGAAAGAACAGTGACCTGGTTCTGTCTATGACGTATCAAGATGCTTCCATCCAAGTGTCTTTTAGTGGAGAACTCAGCTACATTGAATTCAAAAGCCCAAGTTCCTCTCTGCCCTATCAAGGACTCATCAGCTTTGACAGTGGATAAGGCCAGAAAAGGGAAAGCAGAGGCAAGAGCTCTTGACTCACGACCTTTGAGATAGGAAGACGAAACATTTAAGAAACAGGATAGGGTTTCACATTGGACTCAGTGCCTTTTAAATAGAGAAATTCCTAAAACTAAGATAACTCCTTTTTTAAAGCGAGGGGGAAATGTACTTAATAGCGAGACTTTGCTGCCCCTCAAAATAAGACTGGGACCACTCTTCCCATCCCTGCTGTTTTCTTGCCATTTGATTTTCTTTCTCTGGAGCATCTCCACTGAATACTCACTAACTTTGGTCAATATCAATGGGCAATAAAGCAGGTGCCTGCAAGTCCAGACATTCACAGTGAAAAGGCCCTCTGCTAAAACACTGCCATCTTGTGGTTTGCTGAATAAGCAACCATCAGCTAAGAGCAATCTAAACTCTAGGGTTTGAATCACACACTGGGCAAGCCCAGCATTCAGGTAATGAGCGGCCTTGCTTTTGAGATAAGCAAGTGCTATGCCTCCGCCTTATCTTTCTCACTTTCACCTGTCATGCTTTCTGGAACAGAGTGCATTTATTTTTTCAACAAATGTATTTTGAGCCTAGTAAATACAAGGTGTTGGGCTAGGTGCTGGTAACTACTTTACAGATTAAAACCTCCACTTCTTGTGTTTTCTTTTTTATCTCACAGATGATAACTGCACTGACAGCTTCACCCCTAATCAAGTGGCACGGATGCATTGCTATTTGGACCTTGTATATCAGCAATGGAGTCAAAGCAGAAAGCCCACTCCCATTCCTATCCCACCCATGGTCATTGGTCAGACCCCCAAGTCCCTCACTATCTACTGGCTGCCTCCTATTAGCGGAGTTGTATATGACAGGTGAGAGTGGGGTTGTCCACAGGTGAGCTGGTAAACTTTCTTTGCAGCTTTTCATGACAGGATGGATGTGAAGCAAGGCTGTCTGCTATTGGGAGCTCTCAGTGTGTGCAGCACTGCTCAGGGCTGCTTCCACCAGCCTGCTCAGCTCCCAGCTCCTCAGTAGAGCTCTGGATCCTCTCATGTGAGCCAGTGTCCATCACATGTCCACCTCAGGGAGGGCCAGAAGAGGATGGTCAGTGTGACAAAGAAGAACTGGCAGAACTGAAAGGGCATTTCCTGCCTGTCTTGTGAGCCTCTCCTCTGTGGTATGAGGATGCAGCAGGGGCTTGCTGCTTGCACAGTGGTGTTGGGGAACGAGAAGTAGAGAAAGCTTCTACATGTGGTCCTGGGTGGGTAGACGGGTGGGTGGGAATGAACAAATTCTCACCATCTGTGCATGGGGGCTTACACAACCATGTGGGCATTTCCAGTACTATCTCAGCCCCCACTGCATTCTGTGTCCCCGTCCTCCCCTGACCATGGTCTGATGGAATTGTCACTATCCACTCCCTTTCTATCTGCCTCACTCAGCAGGCAACTGCTGGGAGTTAGGAGGAGATTGATTTTCTCTAGCTTTGCCTGTTGATCTGCCACCATAGAACCTAGTTTTTTTCTTAGTGACAAATTCAAAAATGTTGAAGAGAAGTATGATAACTAAAACTAGTTTTCATTCTTCCTTTGTGTATTAGTGCAGGGAAATTTTTGTAAGAAGCCAGGAAAAAGTGACATCTGATGGAGGAATAGGACAGTGTGGTCTAACTGAAAGGCTCAGAACCCCATCTGTGATCTATAAAGATGAGTATCTTTCAAAACCTACCACTGTAACCTAAGTAACAAGAATAGCTACTGTCTATTCTGTCCTCCTATGTATGAAACGTGGTAGTAGATATTTTATGGTGGTACCTGTCTTATGTATTCCTTACAGTAAGCACAACTCCTGCCACATAAATGAGAAATCTGATTAGAAAAACACAAAGGGATAGCCCCAGACCCACAACTACACAGAAGTGAATTGAGGGAATTCCATAGAAATTCAGAAATGAGGGACAGAGAACTGATGATTTCTTTGAATTTAGAGCTTCTCTGCTTAGTAAGCAAATAACTCTTTTCCTTCGGGCCACACTGCCTTTGTGAGTGTGTGATCCAGCGAAGGTACTGGATATCCCTGAAGGGTGTCTTTATTCCCAGTAGCTTCACTGAAAGTCCAAAGAATGGAGACATAGAAAGATGGGGACAGGGTAAAACTAGTAAGTCCTTTTTCAAAGTGGTATTTCTTAGGATCTTGATATTTGTCCTTGAAACCTTAACTCATACGTGATGGGTGACATCACTCAGAACTCACAACCTAACAACCTAGTTTTCGTTGTCATCAGTACTCGGGCTTTTCTTGGGCTCTGTTTGGTGATTCAGCACACATCTATGTGGTGTGTATAAGAATCATCTTCCTGCAAGTGTGACCTTGTGCAGCATTGGTCAGACAGGCTGAACAGTAAGTCCTCTGCGGGTATGTGCAAACTGGAGTTTTACATCAGTTTATGTAACATGTGTAAACAATTTAATCTTTCAATTCTCTCTCTGGTACAAATGTTACGATAAAGCAGACATCAGAACTGGCTTCCTGAGAGTCTGTTGGCAGAAAAGGCTGCAATTTGCTTCCTTTTTTCAGCTAGGTGGGCTACAGTTTTGAGGCCTCCCAATACGTGTGTTGGGGGGACTCACGTCACATGCCCAGCGATTTGTGTCATGCCTGGAGTTATGTTTATTCCACCCTTGTAGGTATTTGGAATCCTTATGTCAGAAAGGAGTCCCAGCTACGCACTGGGCCACAGCCCCGGAAAGGCCAAGTGCATCAGGGAAATGTGGTTTGGAGTTGCGAACACGTTAGAAGTGATCGCTGATTGGAGTCCGAGGGTGAATGAATCTTAACCGCATATTTTAGTTGCCAGAGTACTGGACATTAGATGGTGTTTGTGACCTTACTCAAAGGAATTAAGGATCTTGTGACCTTTGGGGAACTTATTTAACCTCTCTGAGCCTGAATTTATTACAGGGATTAGAAATCATTTATGAAAAACACATGTGTCACAAGGCCAGGTATGTGAGATGCTTCATAGAAAGAAACTGCTGCTGAAATTATCACTTTTGTTCAAAAATACTATTTTTCTAGCAAAAGATATTGATGTGTTATTATGTTACCTATTGAGTGCTCCTGATTTGACTCCTACATTTCAGATGTGTATTTCACAGCTGGGCTCCTAAAAACACTCCCAAGTATAAGAGACAAGCCTTGTTAAGTAATTTTCCCTTGCTAATTAGTTATTATTATGTTTAACTATTATGCTCACCCCAAATATGGTGTGTGTAGAGCTCTTCATAGACTGCATTAACCATCTCATAACATCCGTAAAATCAGCATTCACAGAAGAGTTGCTAAATCCATCCCTGTGCTCACAGAGACAATACAGTAGGTTCAGACCTGTCCAGAGCCCAAAGAGAGGAAAAAATATGAGTGAGTGGAAAGTCTTAATAGCAACTAGCAGTGTCCTAAGAGAGGAACCAGCAGGTGCAGTGGGTACACAAAGGAACATCAGTGCAGACGATCTATTGGAATGGATCTTGAATCGTTTTGAGTAGGAGTCTGCGGACTGAGCAGAGATGTCTGGGAAGACCACCTGCCAGCTGAGAGGACGGCATGTTTCATGGAGCTAAGGGCGTGATATGTCTGTGGAACAGCGATGTATTCATTGTGATGAGAGCATAAAACCAGAAGGGAACAGGAGTCGTAGAGCCAGAGCAAACTTGTTAATGAGCCTTGGGTAATGGTAGAGAATTCAGATACGACCTTTTAAGCACTGGAGAGCCAAAGAAAATAATATTTCATGTAGTTTTTATTTAAAGCATATAATTAAAAGTAGGGAGTTTAAAACAGGAGAACAGATAGCTAAAATTTTATTTTGAAAATTATTGTCTGTCTTCGTGGGGGAATGCAAGTGGCCTTTAATGGCTTTTGGGCAGTTAGTGTAAAAAGGAGTTTTGTGATGAATCAGATTGTAACTGTATTTTGTTTAAAGTTCCCAGGACAGAAGCTGCCCACCTGCTTCTCCATGGCCCTCCTTTATGCCTTACATTTTTCTCCTTCATGACCTTGAGATTTTGGTGTCACTGTGAATTTTGCAAAGATGCAGTCTATACAAGCAGGAAATGAGAAATCATCGTGTTTCCAGTTGCACTAAATAGGACCTTGCTATTTAATGTCACCTTTTCCCCCCAAGGTCTTCCTAATTTCCTGACCTCAGTTTATCTGACAAGTTCTCCTCTTCACCTCCCCACTTCCCCAGGCCCCCAGGCAGCACGTGTGGCTCCTGCTCTGAAGATGGGACATTCCGTCAGTATGTGCACTCTGCTTCCTCCGCGCGGGTATGTGACTCCTCAGGCTACTGGACTCCAGAGGAGGCTGTGGGTAATGTACTATGGCTTTTGATTTATACCTTAGTGGCCACTGAGAAAGAGGGTAGAGGCAAAGGGTGGAGCAATGGCATGGTGAGGAATGGGTGGATTGTGTGTGTGTGTGTGTGTGTGTGTGTGTGTGTGTGTGTGTGTGTTTATGTTGCTGGATATCTCTAGCCCTAAAAGACTTCCTGGTGCCTGTGGGTCCCAAATGTCCCATGTGTGCCTAATGTGGAGACCTCCTGGCTGTGAAGAAGCAGAGATCAGAAGACAGCTCAGAAGAACAGAGAAGGGGTGACTTCAGGGTGAGGCAGGGCCAGTAGTGTTTCACGCTCCCACTTATCCCTGGAGCTGCCTCGCCACATGACAGCACAAGGTGATTTCTCCCTGCTCTGAATCAAGAGAATAACAGAACCCATGGCAGTCTACGATCACACGTTGGCTGGATGAGTTGGGGTGAGGGTGAGGGGGACTAGGTGTTCCACACTGCTTGTTCTCAGCTGTGCTATTTTTATGAGTCTATTAATCACTGGTACTGGTTGTGCTTTGGATACGATCTAAGCTAGGCTCCCAGAGGGGGAAGATGTTTTTAGTTATCTCTATTCTTGTCCCTCCCCCAATTTCTCAGTCACACAGTCACTCAAATATGTATATCCGAGCCCGAAGACAGCTTTCAGTATGAATGATTTATCAATCTGAGGCCAGAAAATGCTGTTGATGGTGTTGATGAGACTTTCCTGACCTCCTGATGAATGGCTTCACTGCTCCCACAATCCTCATCTCCAGTGCTCACCTAATCATCATGTTCTATCTTTGCTTTTCCCCCCTTATATTTCTTAAGAGTCAAAAAAAAAAAAAAAAACCTGCTCAGTAAGATGTGTCAGACACAGTTTATTTGAATTATTTTGCAGTCTTGACTGTGACCATAAAAAAGGAGAAGAGTGTCTGAGTTGGCAGCGTATGATGTCATCGCGGGCTCCCGGTTACTCAAGTGACAGGCCCTGGAGGAGCTGGAGGGGGGCGACTGGTGTGCTTGACTGTATGGGACTTCTTCAGAGGAGGGTTTTCAGAGAAGGATGGAAAGTGAATATAAAATTTACTGCATTGGACTCATGTAGAGATTGGCATTTAATGAAAGGACATTTCTGTGGCAAACAGTTTGTTCTGTGCTAGGGCTTTAATGCCTGTTTGACTTTCTAACCCAGAATTTTTGTATTCTTTTTAATTCTTGGGAAAGTTCAGAATTATCTGGTTGAGGTGAAAGGAATTTTACAATCTGGATGACAATTCTTATATCTTGAGGTGAACCAAATCAACTTTTAGGGCCTCTACTTCATGTTTTACATGAGGTCACACAGAAACCTTCTAAGCAGTGCCGCTGTGGGGTGTCCTTTCCAGGGCCTGTGCTCTGCTAGTTTTTTGTGTAAGCATTGAAAAATTCTGATAAGAAAAGCTGGGATTCCCTTGCTTTGAAATGGTTGAAGTCTTGGTCAAATTTAAAATATATACAATAATGATAACTGAGTCCTCAACAGTGTATGCACAGACATGAGTTCACAAATATGACAAAATAAAGTTAGTGGCCCTCAATGAACTCTTTACTGACCACCAATTTCTTTTCTTTTTAAATGCTACAGGGAATAGAAAATCGAACTAGGTGCATTCCTTTATCATCTTGTCGGCAAGAACTTTTCTAACTTCACAATTTTAAATAGCCCTCAACCTCACCTCACAACTCTCTGTTTCCTTATATTACTTCATTATTTCAAAGACATTACTACTTGAAACAATACTTTATAATTTGTTTCATCTCTCTCCCAGTTGTAAGGTACAAGAACACAGGGTATTCATTGCCTCTAATACTCAGGTTAATGCTAGGTATAAAGGTGAGCCACAGTCCACTTTTGTTGGATGAGTGAATGAGTCAATTCACAATGTAGGCAAAAACCAATAATGACCATAAGATACAACACTGCAACACTACACTACACTACACACACACACACACACACACACACACACACACACACACACTTGAACTTTGGTTTTCTGGGTTTTGGAACATCATTTTCCAAATGCTAATGACTGAGTAATTCTACTTTTTGTAAATGTAGACACATAATTTTTATGAAACATTGTGTAGATCTACCATAGTAACCTAGTAAGGGAGGAGTTAAATATTAGCACTAATTTTTTAAGAGAGAAAATCAAGGCTTAGAAAGATGTGCCTGCTACAGCCACAGCTATTGGCACAGTTCCAGCTAGAGCCTAATTCTGCTTGTTTCTCACTCAGTACTCTCTCGTCAGTTCTCTTCATGTGATATAACAGAAAAACCACTTTGTGTGGATCATTTCCACAGGCTGAACTTAACATATTTGTGATATGTGATTTTTTTTCACTGTTACATTTTTACTCTGTTACTGAATCTCCTTTACTTCCCATTCAGTCCTGTGTGTTTGTGTTTCCTGTATGTGGTTTCCTTCCTGGAGTTACCTGCTTGCTCACACATACCTGAATATAAAGGGAAATGCCAATGTATGTTTTAAATTTTGGTTAACAGTTAGGGTGCAGAGGTGCCAAGATGGGATCTTAGGGGATGAAAGAAGTTTTGTGAAGGACACTACATACTATAGAAATGATCCCTGAAAATGTAGCCTTGTGATGGGCACTACAAAGAATGTAGTGACATCTGAAATGACATCAGACTGCCGAAGCATTACTGTAAATTCTTTCCTGCTCAAGCATTTTGCAGGGCATAGTTTAACTTGTCTGCATCAACTGTAGGATTCTACCTAGGAATCATTCCCAATTTTTCACCATGTTTCCTTGTTAAAGGCCACCTTGTAGAGGTGGTAGGGTAAGCAGCTCATCATAGCTCTTACTGTTACACTTTTGGCAAGTCTCTCATTCTTGGTTTCTCATCTAGCTGTTGATTTGAGCTACTCCTTTCAGATTTATGGTGGTGGCTCCTGACGTGTGTTTCTGCTCCTCTTCCTCAGGGCCTCCTGATGTGAATCAGCCCTGTGAGCCAAGCTTACAAGCCTGGAGTCCTGAGCTCCACCTCTACCACATGAATATGACAGTGCCCTGCCCTGCAGAGGGCTGTAGCCTGGAGCTGCTCTTCCAACATCCGGTCCAAGCTGACTCCCTCACCCTCTGGATCACTTACCTGTCCATGGATTCCTCCCAGGCACTGTTTGACACAGAGATCTTGCTGGAAAACCAGGAGTCTGTGCACCTGGGCCCCTTAGACACCTTCTGCGACACACCTCTCACCGTCAAACTGCACGTGGATGGAAAGGTCTCAGGGGTAAAAGTCTACACACTTGACGAGCGGATGGAGATTGATGCTGCCCTCCTGACTTCTCAGCCTCATAGTCCTTTGTGTTCTGGCTGCAAGCCTGTGAGGTACCAGGTTATCCGGGAGCCTCCCTTTGCCAGTGGCTCCCCCATGGTGGTGACACATCCTCACAGGAAGTTCATGGACATGTGAGTTGGACAGTAAGGTCTTCTTAAACAAGGGGGTTCTTGGGGCCTTGGGGTTAATTTGGTTGCTTCTATCTCTACATTTTAACTTTCTAACATGCCATTAGTTAGAAGAATGTTGAAAATCTGAAAGAAGATTTTATTTTAGACTGGCATATCTGAGAGGAAGTAAGCATTTCCCCAGTGTTCTAATTGCTGATGTCATCATTAAGATTGTGGGCAAATCAGGTTCCTATATGAGGTCTTTCAGGGTACTGAATGTGACTGCTGCAAATAAGTTGATCAGAATCAGATTCCTCTGTCTGGTAACAATGTAATTTTTTTAAAGAAATTTGTTTTAGGGCTAGGGATTTAGCTCAGCGGTAAAAGCGCCTGCCTGGCAAGCGCAAGGTCGTGAGTTCGGTTCCTGGTACTGGAGAAAAACCAAAAAAAAAAAAACTAAAAAAATTTATTTTAAAGAGAAAAGAAAACAAAAATAACAACAACCAAGACAATAACACAAAACCAATAAAAACAATACAGAATTTCAGAACAAGGTGATAGGAAGCAAACAATGGCTGTTCTATTACATATGGTTACCTTAAATGAAGTTGCTCAGATTACCAGATGTCAGAATGCAAGATTGATCAAACAATTAAACAGAATAAAAAATAATTAAAAATTTAGAAACTATTCAGAGTTTCACTAATCAAGATAGTAGGGATTCAACAATGGCTGTTATATTGCATATTGCTATCTACAAATTAATTGTTAAGATTACCAGATATAATCATGCAAAACTGGTCAAAAAAAGAAAAATTTAAGCATTAACTCTTCCTTTCAATAAACCAATAGACATCAGCAGTACAGTTATGCCGACTATCCTTGGTAATTTCTGATTCCTTGCTGTAGCTTTCTAATAATCTGTTGCAGCTCCAACACCTGATCCAAGCTGACACCAGCTGCTACAACATTCAAAAGAACAGTCACCTTCTCCATAGTAAGCAAAAATGCTGTAGGCCCAGCAGGCATGGCGCTCAGCTTCAGGACTCATTCGGAATGTGTCGTTCATTCTTCCCACTTTTCTCATTTCTCCTTCCCTCTCTCTTCTTTCCTTCTCTTCTAATTCTTTTCTCTTTTCTTTCTGTCTACATTTTAGTGAGTTCTGCTGTGTTTCCAGTACCCTGTGCTCAGTTCTGGAGACACAAAGACAAAGTCATTACCTATAAAGAATTCAGTTTCTGCATAATAGGCTGCTATCTCCAAAGGCAAATGTCTTCCATGTTGTAATTTTCCGTAGAGGTTACCCTGAGGGCAAAACTAGGATAAAACAAAGTTTTATCAGAGGTGCTATATCAGTTTTTGTGGCAGAAGAAATCATCATAGAATGTAGTGAGTACAAGTGTTCTTCATGATTCTGTGGATTGGCTGGATGTTCTCTTTTGGATGGATTTGGGCAGGACCAGATGTCCTCATGCATATAGTGGAGGCCTCAGCTGAGACAGCTGTCATGACTGAGAAGAACAGGACTCTTCTCTCATGGTCTTTCAGGTCCTGGATTGAGCTGCTTCTCATGGCAGTGAAGGGGTTCCCAGCAGTAGAGAGGGCAAGCACCCATTGCTTGCACTTCTCAAATGTATGGTTTGTATTACTCAAGATAATATCCCACTAGTACAAGTAAATCAGAGCTTGGGTGTGGGTGTGGTCATGCAGCACAGCTACAAGAAAGTGTTCACCTCAAGATTCAGTGCATTTCCTATTTTTTAGTGTATTTTCTTACCATATTTACTCTTTAATTAAAATTAGAAGATAGTGAAATGGTAGAAATACTAATGCAGATGGGGTGAGTTTTAAAACAAAATAATCAGTTTTGAGCTTCTGAAGTGGTTACTATGGCATTTTTAATCTAACAATATCCACAGACACATAAATGTTAGGACCAGTAATATCTCATTTTACAGGTAGAAAACTGAGGCTGAACTTTACTTTGGTTGAGTACCTAGTAGATGGTAGACTCAGGATTAAGAGTCAGTTTTTCAGCTGAATCTCACTTGCATCCTCCTTCATAAGTAGCATGCTCAGATCATTGAAGGCCTGGGCTACCTGCTGCTAGGTTTTTCATACAAGAAGACAAAGCACATGATGAAGTTTCCATTCAAACATTTCCCAGGCACAGAACAGTGTAAGACTCTATGCATAGCTGGGTGAGAAGTCTGATGGAAACCTGTAAGGGGAAACCATCAACACTGATTAAGACCTGAAATTGGTTTTGCTGTAGCAATATCTGGCATTCACATGAAAATGTTGCTTCCCCCCAAAAGAAAACTACTTTGAAGACAACAAAATGTAATCTAATAATCATTGTTAATTTCCTATCATCTTGTTTTGAAATTCTGTATCATTTTTATTGGTTTTTTTTGTTGTTTTGTTTATTATTCTCTTTCAAATAAAAAAAATGAAAAAAAAGGAAAGGCTTTTTAGAAATGTACAAAAACCAGGAAAACTAATTTGAAGATTTTAGAGTTTTTAATATTTTGGTGTCATTACTACTAAAATATGTAAAGGCAAGCATAGAGGTTTTGAAAGGCAGTTTTGAAACCCCAAGCCATTTCCTGTGTGCTGGTTTCTGCATCAAGTGAGAGGGCAGAGGCTCTGTGGTGGAGCTGAAGAGATTATTAAAGAAGAGAGTTTTGGCAGATGGTGGATGAGAGCACTCCCGGCATTCCAAGCAACCTTTTGAGATCTTGTTCTCCTAAGTAAGCCCATTCCCAGGCTGGCTTTGGTGGTGGTTGTCCAATCATGTCCAGTGCTGGACAGAATTAAGAAAAGGACCACATTTGTCTTTGGAACCAGCAGCCCCCTTTCACGAGCACTTTCTTCTCCTAAATATCCTGCCACTCCCACTGTCCTCCTGATCACTGCATTTGGCTGTCAAAAGTCTAATAAATTCTTCCTGTCTTTCATGTAAGTATCATTCCTGGAATTTGGAGGTAGAGAGGAATTTAATGTATTTTTAATTAATTTTTTCCTCCCTAAATGGGTGATGGAAAGTATTCTTGCTTCCTTTCATGAAACACTTGCTCTTACTCCTAAGAATTTATTCTCTTCAAGACAAGAATTATCATGGGAAAGCTGTGATCCATGGACATAGGAAGGTCCTGGACTGATCCCACACGCTAAAGTCTTCCTCTGTAATTTCTTTGATTACTTTGAGGACACAGAACATTGGTTTTTTGGTAGTTGTTTTAATTTGATTAAAACCCATTTGAATACCAGCTTCCTAGATTGTCTAGGACCGTTACATTTAGTGCTAATTCAGCAAGTACTTACTGCCTATCTTTATGTAAAGTATATAAGAAATACAGAAATAAATGTTTCAAATGTTTTGTAGGACTGTGCCCTAACCTGTGTTTTAGACAATACAGCATTTTTAATATCGGTGTTCTCCCCAATACTTCCCTAAAATGCCTTCAAGTTTTTTGCAAAGGATCCAGGCCAGGTCTCATTTTGTGAATGTCATAGTCACAGATCCATTGGTTTTCACAGGGAAGTCACACCTGGACAAATGTATCAGTACCAAGTTCAGGCTGAAGCTGGAGCAGAACTAGGAGAACCTTCACCTCCTCTGAGCCACATCCATGGAGCTCCTTACTGTGGAGATGGGAAGGTGGAAAAGTGAGTATTGTAGGGGGGAGTTATGTAGACGAGGTCATTCTGACCTACTCTGACCAGGAGACTCAGCCTCCAGTTTGAGCTTGACTTGTTTGGAAATGTAGGGGGCAAGGCATTGTGTGATTCTTTAGTTGAACTTACAAAATCTGGGCTCTGATAATGATCTTGAGACATCACTAACATCTCTGTACAATTCTGGAGGGACTCAATTTTATTTAGAACTCATCCTAGAGTACTGAGATATTGGAATTGGTTCTCTGGAGTCCCTTTAAGGCCTCAGTGAACAACTGTGAGGAAAAACTTTAGGAAGGAATTTACACTGAAGAAGGTTCTTTGTCAAATGATGCTGAAAGATGATAGCTTTTGGACAAATGTTTTGCCCTATGCTATTAACTAGCTCTGTGATTTTACTAACTATTTCTGTGATTTTACTAACTAGATGTGTGATTTGAGGAAAGTCAGTTGCTCATTTGACTCCCAAAAGCACTAATTGCAGTGTAATTCCCAACTATTCTGTAATCATCACTAAGGTAAAGATGGAAACTTCCCTGTCATTTCTTAACATCCTATGTTCCCCTCTCTGTTGCTTGTGATACTAACCTGGGGAACTAATTCATTCTGATTTCTTCTGCGCTTCTCCAGTTTTAGAACTGAGGAATCCCCTGTCCCAGGAAAATTATAGCAGTTGATCACCTTACATCAACCTATTCTGAATGCTCATCAAACCTAAATTTTATTTACATAGAGTTGCTGGGAGTAGGAGGCTGAATGGCCGGGCACTCTAGTTTGTTCTGCATTCTGCATTTCCCAGACCAGGTGAAAATATTTTGTATCCTAAAGCCCTAATGGGAATCAATTCTGCAGCCTTTCTTGGCATTCCCTCCCACCATTTAACCATCACTGAACGTTGTTTAGAACAGTCTTCTCAGTCTTCTAAGAACTTTAACTACAGCGTAAGCCCACTCCTTTGCACAAAATACAGACACTCAATGTTTCCAGATGTCATTTATGTATGGAAGCTACTGAAATCACTTTAATATGCAATCCTTGCTGGTTTGTAGCCCCTCTGCCCCACCCTCCACCTAGTTCAGCCTCAACCTGCTGTCTCCTTCCTGCAGCTCAGATGGAATTTCTCCCTGAAGATGCTTCACATGTGTGCAGAACAAGTCTATCGTCACTGCTGAGTTTTTCTCTGTTCTGACTGCTTCATCTTGTATATGCACCCCATACATTAAGGTGATTGAAACCTGGGTCACCACTGCTGTGCTAGCATAGCTTTCCTTCACCGGAATACCTGGCCCTAAATTGTAGCGCCTGTTCAGGGCAATCTCTGGTGATGCTGATGAGGCCCTAGAGTGCTACATTTGCCTAGGTGGAGTAGGGCAGAAGGGAATGCAGGGCTCTCCTCCTAATTTGGTATTCACATTCATTCTTATGCCTTGAAGCAGCTTCACCAGATGCAGCATTTTTTGGCTACTGAGTCACAAGGTTCCTTATCAAATGCACTTTTAAGCTTCTATCTGCATTTCTTCTGTGTAAGATAATCACTGCTTGACACAATGGGAAGAAATCTTTGAATTTCAGCTCAGCCTCAGATCGGGGCGCTCTATCACAGGAAAACAAAAAGGAGTCATACAAATAGTGTAACGCACCTGTGTATCACTTGGCCATGAGACTATCAAAACAAGCATGAAGAAGAACCCTGCAATTTTGAGCAGTATTCCTTTAGAAATTGATCACCTCAGTGTGTGCTGTCCAATATAGGAGACAGCAGCATATGTAGGCTTGGAAGCTTTGAAAAGTAGCAATTACAGCTAAGAAGCTGAATATTAAATTTTATTTGATATTAAATAATTTAGTTTAAAAGCTGAAACTCAGTTCAGTTATTGGTAAACCTTTAAGTATAACAAAAGTTTGGCATGATTTGGGTGAGAGAATCTACTCTTTAATGTATACATTTTATGAAATCTAAGCAAACATCAAGTGTTTAAATTGAGATATGTTGCAAGTGAAAAATACACATTTGATTCCAAAGGCTTAAGATGTAAAAATGAATGTAATAGCCTATCAATAATTTTACACCCATTATATGTTGAAGTGATATTTTAAGTATTTTAAGTTGGATAAAATATTTTATTAAAACTAACCTTGCTCGTTTCTTTTTACTTTATTAGTGTCTGCTAGAAAATATAAAATTATTTATCTCATTTTATTGGACAGCATTGCACAAGGTGATACACAATATTCTTGTATTAATTATATAAATTACCTTCAAAATAAAAGTATAAAATTGCCAACCTCCAAAACTATGTCCTGGACCCCATGTAGAGAAATAAGGATGTAAATTAATTCTCCCTCTTTGATAAGCAAATGATTTCAAAATATGAAGTTTTGGGGAGTTACTGAATGTCACACATCGATTAGATCCCAGGCATGGCATTGAATCACATTGCCTTTGCATAAAAAACAGACTGTGAAGGGGCTGGGGATTTAGCTCAGCGGCAAAAGCGCCTGCCTGGCAAGCGCAAGGTCGTGAGTTCGGTTCCTGGTACCGGAGAAAAACCAAAAAAACCAAAAAAAAAAAAAAAACAAAAAACCAGACTGTGAAGTTTCCTTAATTTCCTCAGTTAGGTTTTTTCTCTTTTCTCCTTCCTTCTTCTACTTCTTGTCCTTTCTTGACTTCCAGTCTGTTGTATGGAATACGATTAACGGGCTGGAAGTGTATCTCAGTGCTAAAGTGCGTGTCTCACATGCACAAGGCCCTGAGTTGCATTCCTAGCACTGTCTAAGATATGATTATTATATAACTGCATTCATAGCATACTTTTAATTCATGTTAAAACATATCTAATTATTTAGTTATTAATCTACCCCATAAGGTATAATTTAAACAATGATCAAGCCACTTGTGATACCCTTGATCTGAAAACCTTTTAGTGTTCCAAAGGTCTTTCCCTACTAAATTGAAATCCATATCCATTTTGGACATGGTGAAAGTCAAGGAATCAAATAATAACCTCCATCCACTTTGCAGTAGCCAAATCTTTGCTCTTTCAGAGGAGTTTCCACCTAAGAATATCTATTTTGTTCTCATAACATGCTTCATGTGCCTTTAACTGTAAACCAATTTATCCACCTCAGTCCGTATTTAACCTAGAATTACATTAGCTTCTGAGGTTTCAAAATGCTCTTTTTCTCAAGGCCTTTCCTGACCTGCAATATATGGCAGATGCCACCAGGTGACAGTAGAGAGTTTGGACAGGGACCTGAGTCCTAGATACACCCTGGATTTAGTCACAGTGGGGCTGTTATGTCTTCTAGAAGTACACAAATAGAAAATTCAACTCCATAAAATTCTAACTTGTATAACTGCATGTAGATAAAAATAATGCAACAAAAACCAGAAATATCATAAAATGAATAGAAAGCAAAAACATAAAAATAGGAAAGCTCTCTTCTAATTAGCTATTTGTTTTTTCTTTTTTCAACGGTCAAATAATTTAAGTGAAATTATTTTAACTGACACATAAGGATATAAAAATATACATATTAATGGAGTGCCATGTGATGTTTGGATGTATGTACACATTGTGTAATGTTCAAATAATCAGGTTAAACATATCCATCTCCTCCAACCTTTATTTCCCTTTGGTGAAAACATACAAAATCTTTTTTTTGGATTTTTGAATATTCAGCACATAACTGTTATCTGTACTCACCCCAGTGTTCGGTAGAGTGCTAGAAATTCTTACTCCTATGTAACTGTAACTTAGCATACACTGAACAACTTCTCCCCACGCTACCCCTCCCCTACACTTCTCAACTTCCGATAACCACAATACTATTTTCAACTTATTATGTGATTTACTTTTTTAGATTCCACATGTAAGTGAGATCAAGTGGAACTTGTCTTCCTGTGGCCAGTCTATTTTATTCAATATATGGATTTCCAGGCCTATCCATATTATCACAAATGACTGAATTTCATTCTTCTTTGTAGCCAAATAGTATCCCATTATGCATGTATTCCACATTTTCCTCATCATTCATCAGCACGGCAATTGTGAATAACACAGCAATGAACAAGAGAGTATAGATCTCTCTTTAAAATACTGAGTTAGTTTCTTTTGGATGCATACTCAGTAGTGGGATTGCTGGATCTTATGGTGGTTCTACTTTTAATTTTTTAAGGCATCTCCACACTGTTTCAATTTGCATGCCCACCAAATGTGCAATAACTTTTTCTCCACATCCTCACCAGAACTTGCTACTTTTAGTCTTTTTGATATTAATTCTTACTGGGCAGAAGCATCATCTCATTGTGGATTTGATTTGCATTTCCTTGATGACTCGTGATGTTGAACATTTTTTCATGTCTTTGTTGACCATTTTTGTGTCTTCTTTTGAGGGACATTAGTTACCAAATTTTATTGTTCTGTTTCATTTCTCTGCTATTGAATGTTGGGAGTATTAAGTAGCTCCTTGTCAGATGCATAGTTTGCAAATATTTTCTTCCTTTTTTCTTTCTCTGCTATGCAGCAACGTTTTAGCTTGTTCTAATTCTGTTTGTGTATCCTGTGCTTTTGCTTCTTGTCCAAAAACTCCTTGCCCATTCCAATGTCCTGAATGATTTTCTCTGTTTTCTTCTAGTAGTTTTAAAGTTTTATACCTTATATTTAGGTCATTAAACCCCTATTAAGTCTTATATTTAAGTATTTAGGCCATTTCAAGTTGATTTATGACACTGATGAAAGATAGGGCTCTAGTTTTATTCTTCCAATGTGTATATCCAATTTTCTCCACATCACTTATTAAAAAGTCTGTCCTTTCTCCAACATGTGTTCCTAGCATTTTTGTCAAAAAGTGGTTGTAGATGTGTGGATTTATTTCTAAGCTCTGCATTCTGTTCAATTGATCTATGTGTCTATTTTTGTACCAAACGATGCTGCTTTATTACTAGAGCTTTGTAGTACAACTTAAAGTCAAGAAATATAATCCCCCCTACTTTGTTCTTTCTGCTCAATATTGTTTCAGCTCCTGAGTTTTTATGTGTGTATGTGGTTCTATATAAAGTTTAAGGCTTTTTTCTAGTTCTATAAGGAATATTGATATTGTCATAGAGATTGCATTGGCTCCGTAGATCATTTTGTGTAGCGTGGACATTTTAACAACACATAAACATGGAGTGTCTTTCTTTGTGTGTGTATGTGTTTGTGAGTGGTGTATGTTCCCTTCAATTTCTTTCATTAATGTTTTATAATTTGCATTATAGAGGCTTTTCACCTCTTTGGTTAAATTTGTTCCTAGGTATTTTTTGTGATTATTGCAAGTGGAATTATTTTCTTGATTTCTATTTCAGTAGTTGGCTTTTAATGTGTAGCAGTGCCACTGATTTTACAAACTATAACAACTAGTAAACAGATTCTGAAAATTGCAGGATACAAATCAGTTGTTTCTAAGATTCCATTCATTTCATGGCTAAACTGACCTTTTCTAAGTTTATAGCCTTTACCACAGACACTAGCTGTACTCTCAAAGGGATCTTTGAGGTATTTTTTTAGTCATGAGCTACGGGGAATTCTCACAATATCATAGACATGCTGATCAATAATCATTGTTTAAATTGATTAAGCAAGCATATGCCTGTATGTTTAAAATGGAAGCATTCTCTTAGCTCCTATGTTAATCCATCTTTAACTTTTAAGTACACAATGAAGAATTTCAAGAAATTAAAATGATGACAGCTAAAAAGAAGGAAACATTTTATTTGCATCTGGATGTGTAATTCTAGGAGCTTGGGAGAAGAGTGTGATGATGGTGACTTGCTGGATGCAGACGGATGTTCAAGAGCATGTAAACTAGAGGAAGGCTTCAACTGCGTGGGTGAGTATAGGCGTTCCTGCCTAGGATTATCATGTCTTATTTTTAGAGATATTTCAGTGCGTTTTGTGAGTCCTTAATATTGTGTAACATAATTTAGTGATAATAATAAAAATTAGCATATTTCTTATTCCAGGCACTAAATATTTCACATATATTTTCTAGCTTAATAATTGCCATAACTATGAGAAAACTAAACTGAGGGTCAGAAGCCTTAAATAATGTGGGTTCACTTATCGAATGAGAAGTGGTAAAGTTAGGATTTGAGCCAAGGAAGTACAGTTCTAGAATCGCAGGTTGAACTGTTAGGTTAGTGTTTCCTACCTTAATGATACCAAGAATTTCCCTTGGGTTATCATGTGTAACACCAAAATGTCCCATGCGTAGCACACTCATATGGGTTCTACAAAAGTTAAAGTAAGGAATCACTCCAAGCAAAAGGAAATGCAGGCTATTTCCTGATGTCTGTATTGAGTAGATAAAATCATTCAGGATAAGAGACAGGCATATTTTTGCCCTAGAGAATCACTGGTAATAAATTATAACTAGGTGATTTTTTAATCTAGACCCTTGGAAGTTGGGGTGGTAGTCTTCAGTACTATCTCCCAGTTCTGATAAAGATTACCATCAACAGATTTCTTGGATGCATGTTATTTTCCATTTGTATCCGTACATAGTGCAATAATTCTGCAGAACATAAACATACTTCAATATTATTTTAAATAGCAGTGCATTTAAAACTTCTTTTGCATTGGGGGGGTATGGGGAATCGAACTCAGGGCCTTGAACTTGATAGGCAGGCACTGTGCCACTGAGCTATATGCTTGGCCCCAATTTTACACTTCTAAATCTGAAGACAAAGTAGGATATGCTTATAATTATTTAGATTTTAATTTGTTAAGGTTTCAAGTACTCTGCAAAACACCAAAATGCCCCTGCTCTCTAGAGCCAGAATAGAATCATAGAATTTTAGTGTCCATCCATCCATCCATCCATCCATCCATCCATCCACCCATGCACCTATCATTCATCCATTTAAAAAATGCCCATGATGTACCATGTATTTAGTGTACCATATATTTGGTGTTTGTCACCTACCAAGAGTCTGATAGAGACTCACTCCCTTCATGTGTTCCTAGCAGTGACTTAGAATCAAGCTGGATTTTCTTATGGAACTCCCTTCTACCAGATCCTGTGTTATGGGCTTGTAATTTCTGCTTATACAATTCTAGCACTGAAGAATCTGCTTTGAAAAAGACCGTTTTGCTTAAAAGTGATCTCATCTGTTGTAAAATTTTTCTGCTTTCCTCTAGTTTATAAAGTGAAGTTCAAAACATTTCAATGATTCTTCCAAGGGCATGCAACAAGGCCTCTGCAGAGCCAGCCCTGGAACTCAGTTCTCACATGTTCAGTGAAGTGCGTTTTCCTCCTGCGAAACTACAGAGAATACATTTTTCCTTGTTTTATTTGACTACCATTCAGATATTTGAAATGCCTCCTCATTTTTCTCCTTTCCAATACAAACAACCCCTCGTGTGATTAGGTTTCAAGACCCTTTCCTATTTACCCCAACCTGGCATGCTTTGTGTGGTCAATGCCCAGAGAGAAATCCAATACTTCAGATGTGGTCTGGCTGTGCACAATCCACTGAACCGATTACCTCCCTCTTCTGTGCACAAGTATCTGTTAATGCCACCTCTGTTTGTGTTGTCTCTCTTTGGTAGCCACATAGTGGTCTCATACTGAAAATAAACATACATTCTCCAAACAATGTGCATCCCCAGTGCAGCTCAAGTCTCACTTAACTGAAGAGCAGATGACTTTATTTCTTTCATATTTGATCCCATAAAGTTTGACTCATATGCCCTTAGCCTGTAACTCCAGTAAGACTATATCTAAATTATTTTAACTATACTTAAATACTATACTTAAGACTATATTTAAATTCCTTACTGGGTAAAGTTAAAGTGGGATGGTCTACCATTAGACATCCTTTTCAAAGATCAGTAAGTGTATTTTATGCTAAGCATATCACTGTATTTCATTAGAAACCTGGCATGGTGGCACTTACCTGCAAACCCAGCACTCTGTAAGACAGAGGCAGGAGTACTGCATGTTTGAATTGAGCCTAGGCAACTTAATGACTTAGTGAGACCCTGTTGCAAAATAAAAACTGAAAAAGGACTGAGGATGTAGTTCAGTATGAAGCCCATAGGTTCAACTCCAGTCCTGAGGATAAAGAAAGATTTGAGGAAATCATTTGAAATATATTTTTAAAGTATTCTGTAATTTTCAGATGGGTTTCTAAAGAGTGGCAACAATTTTAACCCTATAGTAAAAGAAAAATATACAAGTAAAGCAGTCACTGGTAATAGAAAAAATATACAGAAAACTGTTATAAGTAATAATAAAGAGGGAATGAGACAGAGACAGACAGGGCCAGAAGGAGAGACAAAGAGAGAGAAGATAAATCATCATGTGAAAGTCATTCTGAAAGCACATATCCTAGCTTTAGGGAGAAGCTGGGGTACTGGCTTTGCGGGAGATGCTGGAGTAAGATGAACTTAGGAGCAGATCCTGGAGTAGGGCATAAGTTTCATAGAATACAGGAGTTGAAAACCCCAAGAAGGCTTAGAAACATGAACTGTGAAGAATGGTTTAGTCTTGGCGTGTAGAGATAGACTTACTACTGAAGGATATGAGGAAATTATTATGGAAACTAATTAATAATGATATGTTGATGAGCAGCTGAAAACTTACTTGAACATCCCTGTGGGGGAGCTGTGTAGAAACAAATGCATGAAACATGTTATACTAACAGTGAATGCTGTTAATGACTTTCCTGAATATGTACCTAGAGGTTGATTTATTTTGAATATTGATCTTATTTTTAATGCCATGATATCTTCAGTAGAAATGGGAAATTAGAGATGTGTTGTTAACATTAATTGTCCTATATTTTTGTAGAAAATGCAATAGAACTTCATAGATAGCTTTGTAGCTACTTCTCAGTTTCCCACATTTGAAGAAAACAAGCTTGCATATCTATAAAGAGTCAGTACTACCCACTTCGGAATTACGTTATGAAACTTGCGCAATGGTACAAGCTTGCTTTACAACTCCAACAATTTCTCCCAAATATCCCTTTCTCCTTTGCTTGCTCTGTCTCAGAGTGACAGGAGGCTACTGAGCCTCAAACCAAGCTGGCTCAAACCAAGCTCCGCTTCTTTGCAGTCATGTGTCCTTGTATGTCATTTGAATTCACAGAGACTCAGGCTTCTCACTTACAGAATAAACAAAAAAATACACATGCATGGGCTTTCCAAAACTAAGAGGAATAATCCATGGGTAGCCCATGATAAACCTGAACCCAGTACGGATTCAGATACACAGCAGTCACACAGTCAAAGAAGTACAAGTCAGGAGGAAAAAAATGAGGGAGAGAAATGCAGTGAAGTGGGAAAATCTCTCAAATAATTTAATATCTTAAAAATAATGGAAGGGATTCAAGTATATAACATATAACACCATTTATTTGAGTTCCCCTTTTATCTTACATCTCTTCTATCTCTAGCTTCCCCTTAGTATCTCAGTCAACACCTAGCCTACAGCTGCTGTTCCTTTCTCCCCAGTCTCAATGCCTTCTCTGACTTTACTATGTAGGTAGACTCTACCTCTGCTCCAGTAAGAAAGCACCCTTCTTTTGTAAGAATGTGGGGCATATGCATTTGTAGTGGGCATTAGACTGGCTAACAAGCACAAGGTTCTCCTTAGTGGGCTAGAGAAGAAATGCTGTAAAGACTCTCATGTTACTTCCTCCTGTGAAATATAAAAACACTCTTCCAGTATCATATGTGCTTCTTGGCAGGGGAGCCAAGCCTTTGCTACAGGTATGGGGGAGATGGGATTTGTGAACCTTTTGAGAAGGAAACCAGCATCGTAGACTGTGGCCTCCATACACCCGAGGGATACTTGGATCAGTGGGCTAGCCAGGCTTCCTCCTCTCATGAAGACAAGAAGAAGTGTCCTGTTTCCCTGGTAACTGGAGAACCTCATTCCATGGTAAGTTAAGCCAGATGCCTGAAGTCAAGGATGAGCCAAAGTGTGCAGGGATACCCTCAGATGTGTAACAGGAGCTTGCAGTATGCTCCAGACTTTGACATGAGATCTTGTCCTTGCTGACCTCAGAAAAAGACAATATTAAGTGAAAGGCTTCTAGATTAGCAATGTGCTCACCCCATTTAACCTCACAAGTTTGCATCTAGATACTTTTGATTATGCAGTGATTGATTCCAGGGTATACACAAGCATCTCAAGGTTTAACTCATAAGTACAAATATCAGAAATTACATTTAGGCTATGTGGTGGAGCGAATTTGTTTTAAAAGAAGAAAAAGAAATAGTAAGAAATCAAAAGGCCTGGGCTCCACTACTGTATTCAACTAGTATTGCTATTATTATATGATTTTAAATAAGTTATTTAACCTTTCTGGGCCCCATACTCATATGTAAAAGAGTAAGTTAATATCTTTTGCATTTATCTGAATCATTTATTATAAGGTTCAAATGAGATTTAAAATATGTTAAAGATCAAACTGTAATTTGCCTGAAAGAATAATTGTTATTGAAGAAATCCTGGAATTAGTATTAAATGAAAATCCTTAATTGTACAATTTTTCTTGAGTACCCACCTAAATAGTTAAGAGATCCTCTGAGGACTCTAAAATCCTACAGTATTGATGTTTATGAATTATACTTGAAGAGTAAGGGTTCTTGGCTCTTGTGAAGCATTGCCATTCCTTTACCAAATAGACTCTCACTTGTTATCACAATAAGTACAGTACAGTCCTTTCAGAGAAGTGAAAGCTCTCTAGGCATTTCAGGTCAGTGTTAAATAATTAGATTTCAGCCTTGGGAATCTGTCTCTGAAGATATTAAGGAACCTCCCAAGGTGTATCTACAGTTAAGATCTCATCAAGGATCCTGGCATCTTCTACAATGTAGAGCTTCCATTCCCGGCTGCAATTTTCTTCTTCCCGCCCCTAACATCACTGCTGATGCCCTTAACATTTCATGTAGGAAGACAGGAGCAAACCAGTGGGAATTTGGTGTATGTTAGTTGAGTCTTTCCCTTTGTGCTGGGAAAATGGAATCTTTCTGGAAGTTCAATACTGTAGACTTCCAGCCATACATTGTTGTACAGATGGAGGCCCCGTGGTCTGTCTTACTTGTAGAACCTTGAGGAGATGAGCATTTATGGAACTGGAGAAGCTGGAATAAAGTTGGAAATTGTTAAAAGAAAGGAAAGGGAAATGGATATTATTAGGCAACCAGCCCTTCCCTCCACACTCTCTCAGACCAGTTCTGTCTTCTTTCTCTGTAGAGTTCTGGCACCCAGTGGCAGAAAGCTAGTAAAGCTGGGAGATTCTAAGTTAGTTACAGCTCTCTGAAATGGCTTTTAGTCTGTCCTGTCTTCCCTGAGTGAAATGGGAACTTGTCTGCAGTGCAGCTTCCTTGCCCCCCTGACTCAGTAGCCTCCCTTTTGGTATCAGTTGATGATGCCTGACAAGGGCTTGTAACCATCATCCAAGAAAGATGTCCTCTGCTAACCCACGGCTAAGTTGCCTGAAATGTGCCAGGACTGTTTTTGGGGAAGATCCCCGGGCTGATCGATAGTGGACTGAGAGTTCTGCTGTGCGATTTTCTACACTGGCAGGTTACTGGGTATAGTAGTCCACATCTCTAATTTTAGCACTTTGGGAGACTGAGGTAGGAGGGTCTCAAGTTCAAACCCAGCTTTCACAATTTAGTGGCTTAGGGAAACTGTATTTCAAAATGAAAGAAATAAGAGGGAAAGTGTGGTAGCTGAATGCAAAGGTCCTGTGTTCAGTCTTCAGTAATGCAAAAACAAAATAACAACAATAGCAAAAACCCCCAAAACAAAGCAAAACCACTGGTATGTTATATCTTGAGGCTAATAGAACATTAAGAAATTCTCCTACACTGAAAAAAGTTTTACTTCAAGTAATATAATCTTTAGACACTGCGAAAACCTTTGCTTTTACACTAGAGAATCTGCTGTCTTTACTTATCTGTCACACTCCACACTTAATATTTGGTTGCAATTGCATTTCAGATTTGCTCCTCATACCATCCAGATCTACCCAAGCACCACCCCTTTGCTGGCTGGTTTCCCTGCGTCACCAGTGGAAAAAGGCCTCAGGACGAAGGAAGTGAGCAGTCAGAAGGTAGCCTGGAGAAGGAGAATGAAGTCTGGCTCAAAGTAAGTGACTTAAACATTTGTAAAGGTTGTGAGTAGGGGAGAGTGTGTGCATGTGCGTAAAACTGTGCATTTGAATGGCTGGCCAGGACATTTCCTTTTGTTATCTCAAGAGTGTTTATATGTTGAATTTATCTTCACCTCTCTTTGAATTTTGTACTTCTCTGTGAATAATCACTTTACCAAAGTAACATACACACAGAAAAGTGTAAAAATCATAAATCCAAAGCACGATGAATTTTGCAGTCAGCGTCCTCTCTAACACCTATACAGATTAAGAAATAGGGCATTAGAACCAGTGTCAGGGTCACAGCTCCCTTCGGTCCCTTGTCTGCGATTATACTATAGACATATGTAGATTGGTTTTGTCTATTTTTAAATGTGAAAAGCTATTCAGTATGTACTCCTCTGTCTGATTCTATCTCATTAAACTTTGTATTTATGAGATTCATTCCTGTTGCATGCCTTGGTTGTAGTGTTCATTTTCGTTGCAACACTGCATTCCAGTGTCTAATACTGACTTGGGCTTATTTATATTGATATATTGGATATTTATTTTATTTCCAGGTTTTTGCTATTACAAATTGTTTTACAGTAAAGATTTCTGTATATTTTAATGAATATGCATGAATTGTTGGGTATATTTGGAACTGATGGATCATTGGTAGGCCTGCTTTTGTAGATAATCTTAAATAATTTTTCACTGTTATTGCACTGTTTTATACTCCCACTCAAGGCTTAAGAGTGCTTCAATCACTTTACATTTTCACCAATACTTGAAATTTTAAATTTTAATTTTAAATCTTCTGTTATATAAAGTTATCCCTCTGTGGTGTCAGCTTGCCTTGCATGAGTAATGAGATTGGGAATGTTTTAAATGTATATTGGTCATATGTATATCCTTTTTGCTTGTTCTGCTTTTTGTTTCTTTTTGAAAGGCATAGTCAAATTTTCTATTGGGTTGTCATTTTCTTCTTAATTTACATGATATATTTATAATTTATAAGGAGTATAAATTCTTTTTCAATCACATGCACTTTGATATCTTCCTGTCCTCTAATATAAGTCCTAAATATTTATTCATTTTCTTCCAGATTGTATTGCTATTCTTGGTCATTTGAATTTTACTTAAATTTTGGGATCAGTTTATCAATTTTCCCATGTGAAAAAACCAATGTAATTTTGATTGGGATTTCATTAACTCTATAAGTCCTTTGGGAAGATGTTTTTTTCTTTTCTTTAGCTTTCTTTTTAAAGCAGAGCCATCTAATATATTTTTCAGTCATTTAAGTCTTCAATTTCTCTTATTAACATTTTATGGTTTTCTGGGGCAGAAGAGATTAATTTTATCCATATCTTTACATATCTATTGAGATAATCACATTTTCCTGTTCTTTTTGTTAATGTCTTGGCTTTTATGATAGGTTTTTAAATGTTAACTCAACCTTAGATCCCCGGAAACAAAAAACAATTTGGAAGTGATATAGAGTCAATTTAAAATACTTCTAGATTTTGTTTCAAAAGTTTGTTAATTTTTCCTTCATCTACATTCTTTAGAGCCTGGCTCCTAATTTTCCTTATTCTACAGAGTCAGGTTTCATATCAAGGCTGCATTAAATAAGGTTTTCTTCATCAGTTCTCTAAAATATTTTGTGTAAAGTTATTCTTAATTTTTAAGGTAATCACCAGTGAAGATATATGGGCCTGGAAGTTTCTTCAAGGAAAAAAATTTAAATTATAAATTAAAATTTTAAAACAAATATAGAAAAATTTAAGTGCTATATTTCTTATTTGATTAGTTTTGGTGTGTCTAATTTTTCAAATCATTTATCTGTATTTCTAAAGTAATAAACTTACAAAGTTTTTAATACTATTTTGTTATTTTCTTTGTAATGGTCCTAAAATCTCCAAGAGATTTCTTTTTCTAGTGTTATTATTAATTTGTAGTTAATTTATTGGTTCATATTTGCTAAGCATTTATCATTTTTATTAATTTTTCATTAATTTATGTAACCAAGGACGCAGGTGTTCTTATTATTATTTCTTTTTTCTTCCCCCCCAGTGCTTCGTACATGCTAAACAAGTGCTCTCTACCACGAGTTTTACTCACACCCTCATTGCCTTTATTTTATGTTTGCTTTTAACTTTTCTTTTCCTAGTTACATGAGGTGACACACATAACTGAGTTTAACCTTCCCATATTTATTACCTCTATTTAGCTATCTGTATATATTGATCTTTCTAACTTAAGCTTAAGTTTTCCCTGAATGCGTGACTTTGGCTACACACCACGAGTTTTCACAAAGCACATTTCTGTTATCCAGTTCGACTATATTTTAAAACTTTTGTTGTGATTTCTTTTTTGACCTTTGAATTATTTATTAATGTTTATTAATGTAGTGTTTAACTTGGAAATATTTTTGGGTTTGCTGCATAGCTAAATTCTTTTGTGGTCCAAGGTATACTCTGTGTTTTAATCCTTGAAAGTTGTTGAACCTTGAATTGTGGATCAACATGGTCAGTATTGGTAAATATCACACATACTTGTGCAACAGGTATGCAATATGCAATCATTAGATGTTAAAGCATTCCATACATCTCAGAGGTCATGTTTATCCACCATCTTCTTCTTGAAATTTCCTTACATTGTCTGTCTCGTGTGTGTGTGTGTGTGTGTGTGTGTGTGTGTGTGTGTGTGTGTTCTGTTTCCATCAGACCCTGAGAAATACAATGTGTGTTAAAAGACTTTTTTTTGGTCATCATAGGACTTTCATTATAAAGCAAACACTTTCTGTATGCCTTGGTAAATTGTTATATTCCTTACTAAGTGTAGATCAAATCCCCACATTTTATCCTTCAAACTTCCGTCATTGAACATCTCTTAGAGTTCCCCTAGCATGAACTTTCCTTTATGTCACTTCCTCTGGGACATTTTTGCCTTTTTTGTCAAAACTACTTTCCTCATTTATGCTGACAACTTCACTTCTGTTGAGTTTCTCTGGCTGCCTGTGTAGAGTTTCTTGAATGGCAGAAGCATTTCCACTGCAGCTCCATTTACCATTGATTAAATTTTACTTCCAGAATAACATTATTTTCTTTTTATTGCTTCACTTTCATCCTCATTCATCAATGCTTCCTTTGATTATCCTTTTTTGTAAAATTTCATATGGGTTTATTACTGGGGAGCAAAGGTACAACACAAGTACACACTTTTATGTTTCTGTGTGGTCCAAATAAGATGCTCAGTGACCAGTCAAAGACAGACTCTGAGAGAAGTGGTGTGATTGTTTCTGGTCAGGATTTATGTTTGTTATTTACATGGTGATTTTTGAATTAAAAGACTAGCAGCAAATTTTGTACTTTATGTAGTCGCAGTTAATAAATGGGTGAACTGAAATTTCAACCATATTTGTGAGAGATTCATTATTGTTACTTGTGGATATGGGAACAATGTAAATTAAGAAACTCAAATGTATGATTATAGAATTTATGTATCTTTCTGGTGAATTATCCCTTTTAACTAAGAAATATTGGCTTTTTATCTCTATGAATATCTATTTAATTTTTCCTATATAGTCTTATTTTCTTTGAAATGCTTTATGTTATACTCTATTTTTAAAACATATTAATCATTTTTAAAGTCTGTACCTGGAGCTCTGTCTATGTTCACTATTTTTTTCTGAATTTTCATTCATTCAAATCTGTCTGCTGTCAGGCAGAATAATGACCATCAGACACTGGATACATTGTAGAGACACTGGTTAATAATACCCTTCTTTCAAAATCATATTTTTACATGTATCAAGATTTGCAAAAGATCACCTTAATCCAATAAGTAATGAAGAAGACTAGATCTTGTGCCTTTGTATTAGTAAGCCCTGATACATCTCCCAGTTATCTCTTTATTCTAGACTTCAGAGGTCTTTATTAAAATCTTGAATTGGGCTCTCCACTTTGACAGTCCCTGAAGTGCAATTTCTATTTGCTCAGGAGTAGTATATCAAACACTCTTAGTATCAAATACTCTTAGTATCAAATATTACCTCTAAGCAATTTTTCCTTGGCTTCTTCCATTCTGATTCTGCATAGTTTGGAATGTGAGCCATATCTCAGAGACTAAAAATATCACAGATTGTCAGGCTCCCTACCATGTAGTTTCCTTCTTTATACATTGAGCTTAGTCTTAACAACCTTGGTTGTTCTCAAAAGTTTTCAAACATTGTTTTTTTACTTAACTTATATTTTATACTTATTTGTGCCAGTAGTGTTTACTCTACTCTAAGCTGCTCCATCATAGCTGGAAGCAGAAATCTCCAGCTGGAATTCTATTAATACGTGTCAATTACCTACTTCATGTGTTTCAGCTATGTACCCTGTTCTTACAAGTGATCCAAAAGAATAGGTGCTTGTACTGTAAAATGTCACTGATATGGTTAAAATTTATGTCAATAGTTAAAAAACACAGAGAAAGTTTAAATTTCACAAATTCACATGATACCAACAACTTAGGAATTTATTAAAAAAATAAGCTAGTGAGGATTTTTGAAAAAAAAAAACTTTTCTTAGAACTGCAGAATTTCTGACAATTTATTTTTCCTTTTAGTATAATTTAATCTTGATTTGATACACAAACACAACTTGCATGTAATGGATTAGAGGCAAGTTCATTGCACAAGGGAGAGACAGTGGCACTGGAAAACATTAGTCTTTCCAATATCTTTCCAAAATCTTTCTGTTCTAAAATGCTACTTGCCCAACAAAAATTTTGTCATTGTAACCCACATTTACTGAGTTTAGTACACAATTTTTCAGTTTTTGTTATTTGCTTTTAATCCTCAGACAATGGATCCAGAATATACAAAAAATTTGTTACATACAGGTAACATAAAGTATAGCTTTTTAAAAATTATTTTCCAATAATAAGCACATTTTAAAGTCCTCCACAGTTTACAAATTGCATTCTTATATACTTTTTAAACTGATCCCTGCAAGAGCCTTGTGAA